CTTTCCGCAGCGGCGATGCGCCGCTCGCTCTGTGTAGAAGGGGTTTGTAGGGTTTAGGGTTTAGGGTTTAGGATTTAGCGTTTAGGGTTTAGGATTTAGGGTTTAGGGTTTAGGGTTTAGGGCCCCAGCTCTACTTCCCAGAGACTCCAATATGCCTTAATTAAGGAATAGACCTTAAAGGGATCCTTTAAGGTATCTATAATAAGGGATCCATAGGGGAATGAAGCAATAGACCTTAAATTATGGTAGAACCCCTAGTATGATTTAAGGTATATCCCTTAATTGAGGGATATTGGAGTCTCCGAGTTGTCAGGAGCCGTGTCCTTTGAAGAAAAACAGTAGGAGCTAGGGTTAGGGAGACCCTTGGGGATATAGACCCTCTCAATAAGGTCCCTTTTAAGAGAGCCACAAGTCGGGGTCAGAAGGGTCCCCTTTAAGGGGTCTCCCTAATACTACCTAGGAAACAGGCACTTCACGCTGGAGTTTAACGTAAAAGCGATTGAAGGTGCGGTGACGGCGCACACCCGACGCAGCCTAGCCCGCGTTGATTCCACATGTTGCCTCCGCAGCTTCCAGAATCCCTTCGTTCACTTCATCTCAAAACTCGCTCCCCACCGACTTCTGGGCGAGACTTGCGCCTAAGCTCCTTCGGTGGTGGGCTCGGGCTCGGGGAAACGCAGGGACGAGCCGTCAGGAGTGGCGCTTTCTGATTTGAATAAAGAGCGGCAGGGCCATGCGACCTGCAAAAAAAGCTATCCGTACAGCGAGACTGGTGCATGATACAGAGAGAAAACGTCAAAAGCTGAAATCATGAACCTAGAAGCTTTTGCATGCAAGCTGGCTTTGAGCACATGCTGTGCGTCTTGACGTGATGTAAGGCTCAAGCCCAAACCTGCAACAGTAGTGAAACCTAGACCTCCGTTGACAAGATCCTGCGCACCACTTCCATCAGCCAAAGCTAGCACGGATATCCTCCCCAAAACAATGCAAACCTCACATTGCCCTCTTTATCGCCACAATCCTGATTGAATGATCGAACTGTCTTGCCGCGGCGCCAGTCGCTGCCATGCCTTGGCTGTGTAAGTGCCGGCAAAGTCGAATCCAGCCTGAAGGACGTCAAGCTGCTGGCTGACACTGTCTGCATCTTACCCAGAGAGCCCAATACCCCTTCAACAAGGAATATACCTTAAATTATAGGGGCCGTAATATTCTGATTTAAGGTCTATTCCTTAATTAAGGGGTATTGGGCTCTCTGGGTACAGGGTTCTCGAGGTTCTGACATTGTTTAGAAGGTGTTTACGGTTTGAAGTTGAGGGTTACAGGTGTGCGAGTCTCAGAAAAGTCAAAAGCTTCAGGGAGTCTGCGCCGACTACCCGGACGCTCAGCTGTTCATCACACTCGCAGGGACAAACTCTCCAAAGCAACCCAGAGAGCCCAATAACCCTTAAATAAGGAATATACCTTAAATCATAGTATCAAGGCCCCTATAATTTAAGGTCTAAACCCTAAACCCTAAACCCGATAAACCCCTATAGATCCCTTTAAAGGGCCCCTATAATTTCAGGTCTATTCCTTCATTAAGGGGTATTGGGCTCTCTGGGCCCTAAACCCTAAACCCTAAACCCTTAAACCCTAAACCCTAAACCCTAAACCCTCGTCATGCACTCGTTGCCTCGGCGCCGTTGACCACCGGCAAAGCCAGCTTCGCCTCTGTCACAAGCAAACCCTTAGGGTTTAGGGTTTCAGGGTTTAGGGTTTAGGGTTTAGGGTTGAGAGGTTAGGGTTTAGGGTTTAGGGTTCAGGGTTCAGGGTTCAGGGTTCAGGGTTCATAAGGGCTCTG